GTAGTTTTTGTATACGGTGTGAGGTATGGGTCCTGTTTCATTTTTTTGCAAATGGATATCCAGTTTTGCCAGCACCATTTGTTAAAAAGACTGTCTTCAAAAGTCTTTTTAACTTTGATCTGTTCTTGGATGTGTACTTTACTTGTGTTTAAAGGTAGAAGATATTACCAAACTGATTACCAGATAACTGGAGCATGAAAGAGAAGTTCATAGGATGAAAGCAGTACTCTGTTACCTGCTATCCCTCAGCATTAGCATAAGAGCCGAAGAAATAGAGTTTACCACTTTTTTTTACATCAAATGCTTGTCATTTAATAAAGGAGTCCCTGGGTAGCACAACCTGGTTAAGTGTTGGACTAGTAACTAAAAGGTTGGTGGGTCAGGCTCACTCAGGGGCTCCTTGGAAGTAAGGCCTGGTGATCTGCTTACTAAAGGTTTTAAAACTATATGGAGCTGTTCTACTCTGCACACATGAGTCAGAATCGACTTGCTGGCGACTAACAATATGACTTCCCTCTGCCTGTGAGCTGTGTCCACAAAAGGCTGTCATTACTTTGTAAGGATGCAGTGGCCAGTATTCTCAGTTCTGCAGTGGATTTGAGTTTTACTTTTTGCCTTTCTTAGAAGGAGGTAGTCTGTTCCTTTTGTAAAAAAAAAACTTTGGGGCAAGAATGGAAAGAGTAGACTGGGAAAGAACAGGGAAGAAATCTCATGGACAAATTTAGTTACATCTTTTCTATAGGGTGTCAAACACTTAGAATTTCATAAAAGGATTTGTTATTCTTACAGTTATTTTTAATATGTGAATATTTTGCAGCCAAATTTGCCATGTACTGATAATGTAGCATTTGATATGGAAAGGCTCACCAGAACCCAAGCAGTTAACCGAAGATCAGCCCTTGGTGACCTTGCCAGCGACAGCTCCCTTGGTCTCGAGCCACTTCGAACTTCGGGGATATCACCTCTTCCTCAGGACGGGGAACTTACTCCTAGAACAGGAGAAATCAACATTGCAGTAACAAGTAAGTGGGGACCCTTTGCCCCAGGTCCAGGCAGTTTTTGTTTTCTTATGTTTGGCCTGTGGTCACTCCTCAGGAAGAGAGTTGAGACATTCACCTGGGCCGATGATTTAGTCTGTAACCAAGAAAGTAATGTGTGCTTTTGTTAAAAGAGATGTTTGAAATAATGAAAATTTCTTCCTATTAAGGAGCTTATGTATTTGTGTGTAATTAATAGTAATAGTTATCATTCAATAAGTAGTGTTCAGAGATGTGCTTTAGCAACTGTTTTATAAACATGTTTTGAAATCATTACATTGCACACAGGTATTTTAAAAGGTAATTTTGGAATTTGATCTAGGCTGTCCGCAGCATCTCTGGTATATTTTGTAACTGAGCACTAGTGCTTTATGTTTACCAAGCTGCAGACAACCTAATAAAAAACTAATCTAGAATTAGAACATAAAAATTACCGTGAAACTCACATCTTCAGAAATAGTTGAGATGGTTTTATTTTACACTTTTTATGAAAGATGGTTTAATGTTGGTCTCTTGACACTTAACTCTTTGATACAGTTGTACACAAGTCAGGAAAAAAGTTAAAGAGTAATGATCTGCCTAAAATAATAGTCTCTGGGCTGGTTCTGAACGAAGCAGTCACATGTTTTAATGGAAATGCCTAAATACAGTATGAGTGATCTGACTGACGTGTGTATGGGTGGTATAGAAATTCACCTGTGACAAGCCAACTCTTTTCTCCAGTTCATTCTTTCCGTGTTATTTTCATCTAACAACCTTTCATCCCATCTGCTATATTGCCATTCTGATGCTGCCTTTTTCAGTATATGCTGTTGCTTGCCTAGAGCTTCAAGCCCTGAACGTGATGGGACTCTGCTTAACGCTGGGAGTCAGTAAAATGGGTAAATTTATTACGAAATATTTTTTGCTTCACGTATTAAGACTTCATATATTATGTGGTCTATTCAGTTGAAGTATACATGTTTTTAACCAATCAAAAATCATTAAAAAATGATAGCCCAAGTTTTATTCTGTCATTTGTCTAAACTCAAGAAACTTTCATTCAGATACGAAGTAAGTAAAATTATGATGCAGTTTGACTCATTTCTTACATTTCCCAATGATTTGTTTTAACAGCATTTCATGTTTTTCCTACTTTGGCATTTAGATTTTATGGTCTAGAATTTTAAAAATTGATCTAGTAGTAGTAAGGAAGACAAAGGTTGATTATTGATTTTTTTAATGAGTTTTTATAGATCCTTCATTGATCAGACATTTATTGAGCACCTACTACTACATTAAGTACTGACCTCATTATATTTTATGTAAAATGTCCTTACAAAATCTTGTTTGGATGATAAAAAATATTATTTTGTTACCAAATTAATCACCTTTAGCAGAATTTACACATGAAGTAAGTGAAAAAAAAAAATTTGATGTAGTTAAATTAGACCAAAGCTACCTCTGTTTTTCCTTCCAGCTACCTCTATTTTTCCCTCCAAAGTCCTGTAGCTCTGTAGCAATTACAGTGCATTCACCTAGCACCTGCTGTGTACCAGACACTGTGCTAAATCAGCATGGAGGAGGCCAGAGGTGTTGGAGACCCTGACACAGTGGGTTGCTGCTAAAAAACCTCCGGGCCTGTGGGGGCATTGCTATGATGGTGTTTACTTCTTCTTGGTTACTAGTTTTTATAACTGGAGTGCCACACAAATATGGATGAATTAGGAAACGTAGACATAATTGAAGTTCTGCTAGTTAGTCTGTTTATCATGTATGAAAGTCTCTAAGACAAGAATGCTCTGCTCAACTCCTTGACGATGAAGACCACGCAACCCTTGATATTTTCATATACCAGTATACATTTTTCCCTAAATATGTATACAGCAAAATATATACAGTGAAAAGATGGATTTTATATGGATTCTTGAATGTTTATCTTGACCTAAATAAAAACCTTATGAATGTACTCTACTGATAAGGAGTTTGTAATTCAAGAAACAGAACCTTCACTGTTATCTTTTAAAAGGAAAGGTTTTGCTAAGCATTTTGATAATACAAACCAAGGTGGCCGGAGAAATACTATAGAACAGATTCAACATTCTGAAATCCCTTAGGGCAGTTCTTAACCTTCTGAAGTTCATCACCTTTAAAAACTACTAGAAGTACAGTAACCTTTCTATAGAAAAATGCCTGTGCACACACACTTTTGCATATAATTTTAGGGTTCATGGAATATAGATTAAATGTTAAACACAGCTTTTACATATAAACAGTTGGCACTCCAGGTATAAATATTTCTTTCCCCTGCCTTATGCAGATATGTAGGGGATTTTACTGTTTTTTAATCCAGTCCTAGTTAGTGTATGCTCTAAGAAATATTTTATAATTAAGACTTTTTAGGAAGTCAGATTGGTTCTCAAATTATTTTTGAGGTTCTCAGTAGGTACTGCTTTTGAAACTTGAGAGGAAGTATTAACGACTTCCTAGATCTAGCGAGAAAGAGTAGAGAAAAACCCTTAGAATACTGCACACCAGAGGTTTTTAGCTCTTTTGTGGGCCAGGTTGCCTCATAAATCACCTATCCTTCCTGCTTCTGCTTGACAAAGCCTGAAAAAGCAGTGCTGCTTCCCAGCAATATGGGCACGAAGGAAAGTCTCTCTTTTCATGAGACATCAGTGAGAAGTTCTTTTTATGTAAATATTATAAGTAAATCTGTGCCTAAGAGAAAAGAATGTAGACATGAATGCTATGGAAGGCCAGCTTGTGACTGCTTGGAGTCCCCACAAGACTGTGAGAACCACTACTCTGTACTTCTAAGCCTTTATCTAAGAATGAGTGCTACAGCCTGCGGAAGTGACAACATGAAGAAGGAAATAAGGTCATAAGTATGGCTAGTGTACTGCCATTTAAATTAACAATAAAAATATGTCCATATGCAATTTCATGTACATATTTTGACTATCCACTTTTTGGTGGCTGCACTCCTTACAAACCTCAGGACATTAACTGGAAGAAATGGTTGGGCCGCGCTGTCCTTTCTCCCTTACAGCTTTCACCACTACTTCCACTAACCTTCTCCAGTTAGTAGCTCTCTGGCAAACCTCCTTCTGCTTCACTTCCTTGGGCCAGTCTTGGCCGGCACCTCCGTTGACATCTGCTTCGTTGCATTTGAGGGAAATGTTGACGTCGATTTGACATAAACCTTCTCCCCAGAATGATTTCCTCCCTTTCCTTTGTCAACAGAAGAATGGTTTATTATTGCCAGTTTTGGCCTCCTCAGTGCTCTCACACTCTGCTACATGATCATCAGAGCCACAGCTAGCTTAAATGCTAATGAGTAAGTAACAAATTGTTTAGTTCGTTCTTTGGATTGCATGTGCCCTATGATCCCAAAAAAAATATGTAGAGTATTTTTCATAAAGGTGGTAGAAATTGGCTTCCCACCAGTTTCAAACTGATCCTAAGGGGGTCATATCTAGTGAAGTAATTTATTTCATTAACATATGTTTTTAGTCAGTAGCACAGATTGAGAGTTCACCTAGCTCAACCACAGCTCACTTGAGAAAAGATGTAGGGGTTTTTATTAGCCACAAGCTTGTGATCAGCAATGTAATATAAATGCCAAGGGCACCATTACAGTCTTAATGATGTAAAGAATGTCAGTGTCCTGGTCATTGAAAAGCTAGTCCCGCTTTACTGTGTGCTCATCAGACCTTACCTGGAGTCTGACACATGGAGCCCACGTTCAAGAAACAGTGACTTGGGTTTTAGCCTGCAGGAAAGAAACAGTAGAGAAGACCTACTGTTTCCAAATACTAGGAAGACTGTCAGGGGAAAGAGAAAATAAGTGTAGACTCTGTCTCCGAAGGGCAAAATGAGGACCAGAGGGTATAGTGCAGGATTACAGGCAAATGTCGCCTCAATAAAAGGAAGAACATCAGGCAGTTAGGCTACTAAACAGTGGAATGGATTGCCTTGGGAATGGGAGTGCTCAGGCCTGGGGATGCAGAAGCTAGATGTAACTTGTCAGGCTGCTATAGGTTAGGTGCTTTTGGAGGTTGGAAAATTGGATTAGATGACTGTTGAGGTCCATTTTGATCCAGTGATTTTCTAAAAGTAGTTTTCGTAGGAATCAGATATAGAAAGGATTTTTTTGGTTGTTTTAGCTTAAATTTAGGGCATTTACTGTAGGCTATTATTCAGTCCTTTCTTTTACTCGTATTTATGAAAACTAATTAGAGATGAAAGCAACTCTGGGACACTGCCCACAATTGAACCTAAATTGGTACAGATGGTGTTCATGGGCTCTCCATATTCAGTTATGTCCTGGTACTTTAATTGATTAATCATGGCCAAACAACCTTTGCAGTTAATTTAATTGGTTGCCCCTTGTCCATCTTAGAAACAAAGGGCAAGAAAACAACAGGCTGCTTACAATGACATTGGCTTGATACTTGTAAGAAATGCCCTTTGACATCCCTGACCCATTACAGATTGGGAGGATGTCATGGCCAGTTCAGATGAGTAGTCTTGGCCTCACCCAACAGGTAAATGTTAATTGCTCAGACTCAAGAGTCAGACAGACCTGGGGAGAACCCCAGCTCCTCCTTTTTTCATTTATGAGACCTGGGCAGTTACATTTATGTGAAGTTCGGTTTACTCATCCATAAGACAGGATAATCGTAGGACTACATCATAGGATTGTTGTGATCATTCACGTACAAAGTGCTTAGCACAGTGCCTGGTACATAATGAGTGCTCAATAAATGTTAGCCAAAACAATTGCACTGGGATTCTATCAAAGTTACATGAGTAATATGGCCATCTGCCTTTATCATTGGCAAATGAGTTTAATTTCTTCCATGAAATAGGATACAGAACCATAGGAGTTGTGCAAGTGCCTACGATTCAGACCGCAATTTGGAGGGAAATACTTATTTTACCTGCAACTGCCCCTTTTGCTTACTCCCATACTGATCCATCAGACTAGATAAGTTGACTTCTTAAAAATTTCATAAATGAATGATAACCAATAACAGTGAATAGTGGCATTCTGGGCACTTTTAGAGGATTATTAAGTAATTCATTCGTAATCTGACTGCTGCTCAGAATCTGCCAGGTGCTCAGCTCATACATGAGATTTTAGAGAATGCTTGATAGACGTGTTAGCTGTTAGAAATCAGAATACCTGGGCCGTAATATTTCAGTTCCATGCATAAATGCCTCATGACTTGGAATCTAAGTCATGGATCTTAGATCTATGTCTTGGGCCAACCCTTCTCCCATCAGCCTTTGTAGAAGGTTGGTACTGGAATTGTTCATTTGAATATTGTTTCCGTGCCTTTACTCAAAACCTCTATGAAGGATGATATTCATGAGAGAGAAATTGAGTCAGAGTGTGTGTGTGTGTGCGCCCACATGCATGTAAGTGAATGAAAGAATGGTCACCAAAATATAAATGGTAATTATCTGAAGTTAGTGAAATTTTGGGTGGTGTTTTTCTCTCATACTTGTGCTTTCATATGTGTGTGTGTGTTTTTACAATAAGCATGAATTAACTTTTTTAAAAGGCTGTTTTTATTGTGAGAGAGAAAAGAAAAGGTAATAGCCATTCTTACTTAATGTCTCTTAAAGATGTTGATGAAAAATTCCTACGTGATTTTAATTCCAGGGAAAAGTCTGTTTTAGCAAATTATAATCATTTCTTTAATGAATTCATTCTGTGAAACCTTCCTATTTCTCTTTTTTGCCTTTATCTACCAAGAAGCTTACAGCCAAAATGAGATCCCTTTTTTTCCCATTTTAATTGCTCTGTTTTAATTTTATAGATAACTTCATTTTCTTGTAAGATAGTCTTATATATAAATAGACCCCATCATTTGGCTTTTTATTGATTTGTCTGAAAATTGATAGTAAGCTTTACCTCTCTGTGTATACCTATTCTAGTTTACTTTTCTGACAGTGTTACTACACGCTGGTCTTGTGTATTGCTGTTTCAGCAAGACCTTCACCCATTCTAGTCGCTCATCAAACCCTGTGGGCAAGCTGAAGCAGTAGAGGCCAGATGTCAGGATAGGCATGTGAAACCATGGTGGGTCCAGCCCTCCTCCTGCAGTGGATGGAGCAATAGCTGCCCCGGGAGAGGCTCCAGCTGGGGACGAAGGCACTCTGTCCCACCCTTGCCATGCTGTGCACATTTATCAAAGTCTGGACGCCATTGTCTTACATCACAAGTCTGTCGAAATTCGATATATTTTGGATCATTCACCTCCTGTTACATGAAATACTATTTAAGTACTCAACTCTAATTGTGCTTAAATTTTTTAACACCTCAAACATATCTGGTGAATTCTGAGACTTTGCACATATAAACAGGATAGTAGTCAGACAAAGAGGCAAATAAATTCAAGTAAATATATTTATGTATTAGCTTTTCATACCTCTTTTTCTTAGTACCTAGTTAAGCAAGATTATGGAACTTGGGTTCCCAAAGGAAGTTTTTTGCTCTACTTCATTATTCAGATAAACCTTGTGAGAGCCCAACATTTACCAGTTTATATTTATGTCAATCTATTTTTACCTCAGTATAGGAAAAGTAAATGTTATTTGAGAAATAAATCTATTTAATTTTTATTTGAGGAACAAATTACAAGATATGTAGATAATTTAGCAGAGGTTTTAGTTCGCTGGGAGGTTCCACTAGGTATCCTCTAAAACCTTTTTCCAAGTCCTACATTTGATTCATAGAAATCATGTCCTACGATTTGCCTAGGAGTGTAGCTCGGACATTCAATATTCAAAACAATCTTGGCAGGAGAAGATGAGTTGAATGTTGCTAACATGATGAAATAGGGAACAAATGTGAAATCCTTTAACATAAAGCCATGATCAAGAAGACCTAGCTCTGCAGCAGATGGATGGGCTTTGGTTGTCCTCATCAGTATTCCTTGTGAGCGATCTTCCTCTTATGTGTATTAGCAGAAATGTATAGACCAGACAAAAGGAATTGATGACTTTCATTGTACTCTCTACGGAGTATTTCTGAATTGTTGTGCTCAGGCACTTTTTAAGAAGAACATTGACAGATGAACACATCTCAGTATAAAGGGTCTGAAAATTTAATCATTTGATGTCGTGAGGATGCTTAGCTTAGAAAAGAGGAAACATTGGTAATATGAAAGGTACCTCCAGGTATTTGAAGGACTCCCAAAGATGAGAATACCAGCTGCCATCAAGTTACTTCTGGCTGTTGGCAACTCCATGTGTGTCAGCATAGAACTGTAGTCCATAGGATTTTCAATGGCTGATCTTTCACGAGGACTTTCTTCCGAGGCATCTATGGGTAGACCTGAGCCTCCAGTCTTCAAGCTAGCAGCAGCCATTTGCACGCCTCAAGAACTCCAGAGATCAGAATAGCTACTGTTTATCGAGTGCCGACAAAGAGCCTGTTAGTGTATTGGACTCTTCACCCATGTTGTCTCATTTAATACGCATAGTAGCCCCATATTGACTAACCAGTGAATACAGAAGGGTGATACTTACTCTAGAGTTTGGAGACAGCCACAGGGAGGTAGATTTCCACTTAATGTAAGAAAGAACTTCTACCAGTCAGAATTGTCTATTCATGACACAGGATACTTTGAAAGCTATTGGGCTTGCCAGGCACTGGTTATTCAGACAGAAGCTTGGGCCATCTTTCGTTAGAGCTGTTTCAAAGGCAATTCCTATGTTAGGTGCAACTCTTTCAGATTCATTCCAGTTCTGAGGGTCCTGAATGAATTGTCTGTCCCATATGATCCCTTCCTAGGAGAGATCAGAGCCTGAAGAGAGGGCTGAGTTCTCTTCTTGCTACCTTTTTAAGAACCCTTATGTATCAGAATCAGTGTTTTTCAGATCTGTTTTTACCGTCTTCCACTGTAAGAAATATATTACGCTGTGACCCAGTACACTCACATACATAACTGAAACAAGTTTCACAAACATATCCCTTACTACATGCAGTAGTCTCTGATACACCTTAATCCGTACTTTCGTTGTTGTTGTTATTGTTAATACTAGTCATGAACTCCTAAATTGATTTTACAGCCCATTAATGGATTGCAGTCTGCAGTTTGAGGAACAGCAATCTAAATATTTTAAATTTATAGTTCTCAGTCTAATATGTTTTGCCCACACTAGCACCGATCTTTGATTATTTTTATTTTACTACGACTGCCTTTCTTGTAGCAATTTTAGCAAAGATTTGAACCTACCCTTGGTTTGAGATGTATTGGTGGATAGTAAATCCTCTTTTTTCTCTTAGTATTTGTTTCTCCTTTTATCCACTCTGTGAGATATATACACAACGAATAAACGGAGGCTCAGAGGGATTGAGTGGTTCCCAAGAGATTCCGTAGGAAGAAAGGCACCTGGAATTCAAAGCCAACATCCCTGGCTCCAGCTCTTCCCCAGTACACCACTAGTTTGTGCTCTAAATAGCCATTTGAAGGCTCTAAATAACATGGTTGGGGAAGAAGAATTTGGTTTTCTAAAAACATGATGACAAAAAGGGGATTAAAGGCGACTGGGGACTTTTGATTGGACTTCTGTACTATATGTGGCAGTGGTCGTTTTTTCAGTTTTCAGAAGAAGTATCTGATATTATGGCTGCATTTATTGTTTAGAATTTCTTAAAAGGGCAGCAAAATAAAGAAAGTTTGAAAACTTTGATTCACCACTAAAAATATCTAATATCCAGTTTTTCTGAGGAAATATTAAAAAGACCATCTGTTCTCTTAAATATGAACCATAATAAGTAATAAAATATAGAGCTTTATGTGAAGTTGTTATAAGCATCCTTCACACCAGAGCCTTTTCGAAAAAGTTGAACAACTCCCTTTCATTCATTTAGATAACATCTCTAGTGCTCACCAGGTGTGAGGCCTAGAGCCAGGTGCTGAGCTCAGGGAGATGGAGCCAGCAGTCCTCGCCTTGCCCTTCCTGAGGTCTGGGGAAAGAGGCCTGCTGTGTGCTGCTAGTGCTGTACACTCATGGGGTGTGTTTGTGGAAGTGACTGAGCAGCGTGTGAGGAGGGCATGAGGGAGTGAGCGCAAGACAGGAGCATGGTGTGCTCTGTGTCCTACCTGAGGGGACTGCTGATTTACCCCCTGCAAGTTGAAGGAGGCTTCATAGAGGAAGTGACTTAGGAACCCGGCCGAGCATAACTGAGGGCACAAAGTAAGGAAAAAGTAAAGTAGATTCAGGGAGTTGTGTGGTTTTGATATGTCTGCTGTATGTGATGGCAGCAGTGGCGTGGCGGTAGCAGAATTTGGACTTCATTCTGGTAAATAATCAAAGGCTTTTCAGCAGAAAGATAATGCCTGGTGGCTGGTAAGTTGCTTTGGAGTAGTAGAGTCTGGAGGCAGGAAGATAAGTTAGGTAAAAAGACAAACGTAAAAAGGGCTTAGGCTAGAATTGAAGGAGGAGGTGTCAGGGTGATGGGGATGAAGTAAAAATCATGACATGCTAGTCAGTTGTATGATAATCAAATATAAGTGGTTAGAAATATAGTTCTGGAACTGAGCAGAGAGGAGTGAGATCAGAGCTAATAAACACATGATTTGGGAACCATGAAAACCAGCCATACTGCCCTGTGGAATAATTAGAGGGAGCATTAGGGTCCAAGGAGCTAGGGCCGATCTGTAATGCCAGGGGCTACAAAAAGGCAGCATTAGCCTGAGGGGCAGTGTAGGAAACTTTTCAAAAGACTTAGGCAATTTTTAGTACCTGGGGGAGAGAGGAAAAACACACGCACACCCTTCCCACCCCCACCCCTCAAATTTGGAGAATTCCTGTAAAGAGAGCCTGGAAGTCTGTGTTCTTCAAATCTCATTTCAAAATAAGTAATGACAGTCTTATTTGAGGGGTAAAAGGGGGCATATTTCCAAGACAGCAGCTACAGATTTCAGGACACTCAGCATGTAGAACATGTATTTAAACCTGGAAAAATTGTAAATTGTAAATATAGTTGTTCCTGTGTTTTTAAAACCAAGATGCTATTAGAACTATACTTTTTTCTTCATTCCGTTTGGCAGTATTAAGACAATAAAATCACTGAGCCGCTTTTCTACAGATCTGAAACTGCTGATTTGAGGAAAATGCTAATGGCTAACTGGCTTCCCACATGGGGTTGGGGAATAGGTGGGGACAGCCCCAGGCCACCCTGGTTCTCCAGTTAAGATCATGTTCTCTATATGTTAAAACATTGACAACTACCCTTTAACTAATTCATGACCTCTGTCTTTTTTCCTTTTATTCCATAGGGTAGAATGGTTTTGAAGAAGAAAAAAACTGCTTTCTGACTGACTGCCTTGAAGGAAAAAAGAACCTATTTTTGTGCATCATTTACCAATCATGCCACACAAGCATTTATTTTTAGTACATTTTATTTTTTCATAAAATTGCTAATGCCAAAGCTTTGTATTAAAAGAAATAAATAATAAAATAAAAATACTGTGCTTTTGAGTATTATTCATCCGCTTGGGTTTCCAACGCTGATTTGGAGATCACATTCCTAAATTTGTTTGTATGCGTTTCAGAGACAGAATGTGCTCATGACAGGAACGCTGACACTTTCTGTTGATACTTGCACATTGGCTCTTTGTGCCCAAATAGGACTCCAGGAGCGGAGATGTCCTGTGTAACAGTGCCCCCTCAGGCAGTATTTTACTTTCTTAGAAGTCTAGCCATTTACTCTCTGACCATTTTTTATCCCTTTGCTTGTGGTTGATCTCCTAGTACTAGAATCTCAGCTCCATGGTAGCAGGGGCATTTAACTGTGTCCTTCACCACTGTATCCCCTGTGCCTGATAGAGTGCTTTGCACATAGTAAGTGCTCAATAAATATTTGTGGGATGAAAGGATGAGTGTAAGAGAGTTTTTAAAATACACATCAATTAGTAATTATATCTGTACTAGATTTTTTTTTACCTAGTTTGCTCAGTATTCTTTTAAAAACTGCAAAATGAGTAATTTTACATGTAGAGTGAAATATTTTTACTTAATTGATGAGGAAAATGTTGAATTCTTCTATATTCAGTTGTGTGCTTGAAAATGTTTTGAGCAGTGAATTCTTAACCTTCCACATAGTCCCATTGATAACGGGTTCGCTACATCAGTCATCCTGAAATTGGAAGAGGGTTGAAGAATTTTTTCTTTTATGTTGAGATGTAATTCAAATACCATAAAATTCGCCCTTTTAAAGTGTATATTTTGGTGGTTTTTAGATATTCACCACTGTCTAGTTCCAGAACATTTTTATCACCCCCAAAAAGAAACTCCATACCCATTATTAGCCCGCATACCCATTAGCAGTAACTTTCCCCTGCCCTGAGGCTTCCACCTGTGCCACACCCCTGCCCCCGCCCCCCCACGTCTTAGTGTTCTCTAGAGAAACAGAACCAGTAAGGTGTGTGTGTGTGGAGAGAGAGAGAGATTTTAAGGAATTTGACTCATGGAATTGTGGGGAGCTGGCAAGTCTAAAATCTGTAGATCAGTGACAGGCTGGAAATTCCTGCAGTCCTGTGTCCCGAAGTCCATAGGTCAGGCAACAGGAAGAGTGAAAAGTGAGTTTTTAATTTTGATGAAGTCCAATTTATTTTTTCTTTGGTTGCTTGGGCTTTAGGTGTCATATCTAAAAAGCCATTGCCTAAATCAAGGCCACAAAAACTAAGAATTTTATCGTTGTAGTTCTTACATTTAGGTCTTTGGTCCATTTTGAATTAATATTTGTGTTTAGTGTGAGGTAGGGATTCCATTTCATCCTTTTGCTCATGGAAATTCAGTTCTCTTGGCACCATTTGTGGAAAAGACTATTCTTTCCCCCATTGAATGGTCTTGGCACCCTTCTCAAAAATCAGTTGACCATATCGTATGAGTTTATTTCAGAACTTTGAGTTCTCTTCCATTGATCTATATGTCTGTCCTTGTGCCAGTACCACACAATATTAATTACTGTTGCTCTGTAGTAAGTTTTGAAATGAGAAAATGTGAGTCCTCCAACTTTGTTAGTTTTTAAGATTGTTTTGGATACTCAGAGTCCTTTGCGTTTCCATGTGAATTTTAAGATCAGTTTGTCAATCTCTGCAAAAAAAAAAAAAAGCCAGCTAGGATTTTGATAGAGTCTGCGTGGAATCTATAGATTGCCTTGGGTAATTTTGCCATGTTAACAATATTGTCTTCCAGCCCATGAAAATGGGATGTCTTTCCATTTAATTTCTCTCAGTGATATTGTGTAGTTTCCAATGTATAAGTCTTGCATATCTTTTGTCAGATTTATTCCTAAGCAGTTTATTCTTTTTGATGCCACCGTAAATAGAATTTTCTTAATTTCATTTTCAGATTGTTCATTGCTAGTGTATAGAAATACAGTTGTTTTTTTATACGAATCTTTTATCCCACAACCTTGCTGAACTTGCTTATTAGCTCTAATGGTTTTTTAGTGGATTCCTTAGGCTTTTCTATCTATAAGATTATGTCTGTGCAAATAGAGACGATTTTACTTCTTCCTTTCCAATCAAGATGCCTTTTATTTCAGTTTCTTGCCTAATTACCCTGGCTAGAATTTCCAGTAATGCATTGTTGAATAGAAGTGGTGAAAGCAGGCATTCTTGTCTTTTTCCTGATCTTAGAGAGAAAGCTTTCGATCTTCCACCATTGAGTATGATATTAGCTGTGGGATTTTCGTACATGCTCTTTATGGTGTTGAAGACGTTCCCTTCTGTTCCTAGTTTGTTGAGTGTTTATATAGTGAAACAGAGTGGGGTTCTATGAAATACTTCCTCTGCATTTATTGAGATGGTCATGTGGTTTTTGCCCTTTATTATTATATGGCGTATAACATTTTTTTATGTTGCTGAATTCGATCTGCTAGCGTTTTGTTGAGGATTTTTGCATATGTATTCATAAGTGGAATTTTCTTGTGATGTCTTTGGCTTTGATATCAGGGTAATTCTGGCCTCTTCTATTTTTTGGAAGCGTATAAGAAGGATTGGTGTTAATTGTTTAAATGTTTGGTAAAATTTACCAGTGAAGCCATCTGGTCCTTGGATATTGTGGGAAGTTTTTTGACTACTGGCTCAATCTCTTGTTATATAGGTCTATTCAGACTTTGTTTCTGTTTGAGTCTGTTTCAGTAGTTTGTGTGTTTCATCTAGGTTATCTAATTTTGTTGGTATACAATTGTGCATAGTATTCTTTTATGATCTCTCTTATTTCTGTAATGTCAGTAGTAATATCCTGTCTTTCATTCCTGATTTTAGTAGTTTGAGTCTTCCTTTTTTTTTCCTGGTCAGTCTAACTAAAGATTTGTCTATTTTGTTGATGTTTTCAAAGAACCAACTTATGATTTAACTGATTTTTCTCTGTTTTTCTATTCTCTCTTTCATTTAGTTCTATTTTAATATTTTCTTCCTTCTTGCTTTGGGTTTAATTTGTGCTTCTTATCTTTTAATATGGGTGTTTATAGCTATAAATTTCCCTCTAAGCACTGCTTTCATGCATCCCATAAATTATGTTGTGTTTTTGGTTTCATTCATCTCAAAGTGTTTTCTAGTTTGCCTTATGATTTCTTTCTTGACCCATTGGTTATTTAGAAGTGTGTTGTTTAAATCCCACATATTTGTGAATTTCCCAAATTTATTTCTGTTACAGATTTCTAGTTTCACTCTCTTGTGGTCAGAAAATATACTTTGTATGATTTCAGTCCTTTTAAATTTATTAAGATTTGTTTTATGGCCTATCATATGTTCTATCCTGGAGAATGCCCTGTGGGCACTTGAGAAGAATGTATATTCTGCTGTTGTTGGGTAAGGTGTTCTATAGATGTCTGTAAGGTGTAAATGGTTAATGTTGTTAGTTACCATCAAGTGAGTTCTGACTCATACTGACCCTGTGTGTGCAGAGTAGAACTGCTCCATAGGATTTTCAAGGTTGTGGCCTTTTGGAAGCAGATCACCAGGCCTTCCTTCCGAGGTGCCTCTGGGTGGTTTTGAACTGCCAACCTTTCAGTAAGTAGTCCAGTGCTTAACTCTTTGTGCCACTCAGGGATTCCAGTTGCTTAATAGTGTTATTCAGATATCTTTCCTTGGTTACTTTCTGTCTAGTTGTTCTATCCATTATTGAAAGTTAGGGTATTGAAATCTCCAACTATTGTTGAATTGCCTATTTCTCCCTTTAATTCCGTCACTTGTTGCTTCATGTAATTTGGGGCTCTGATATTAGGTGCATATGGGGTTGAAGAATATTTAAAAGCCACACAGGTTATTAATTACATCTCTCTGTTGAGAATCACTTATTTCAATGACCTTCCTAATATTACCAGCCAACTCTAAATGCTGGAGAGTTCAGCTGAGTGTGTTTGACATTATTCTCTAGGGTGGGTTCTGTTGCTCTGACATCTTCCTCACTAGCTGCTTTTTTTTTTATTTCTCCCTTGTAGTATTTTCTAGATTAATAATATAGTTCCTCCACACCTAATCTTATTCTAGTAAAAATCAGAGTCAGGTGTTCCCTTTCCTTTCTTTTCCATTCTTGGTGAGTTATTTCTTCATTAACAGTCAGTAGATGCTGGAGTACATCAGGAGATGTAGGACTGTTTAATGATAGTGTTAATGCTTTTTGCCAACTTCCTGTACTTTCACCCTTTTCACATTGAGATTTAACTAACATTAAGTTTTTGTGTTTTAATTAATCATCATCTCAGTAACCATGAAAGTGGTGTGTGTATGTGTGTCCATGCACGTGCGTGTATGCAAGCACACGTGTACCTTAAAAGTGTGGTGGATTTTGTGTGTGTGTTTCAGCAGAAATTTATTATTTTTAAAACAGTATCCCTGTAGTTAGTTATAACTACAAAAACATTTTTTGTAAGCCTGGCTTACATGTATCAATATACCTACAAGGTTTAAAAAATCTATGCTAATTTACTTTTTGAACCTTCTGACATGCTCTGGGCAGAGCTGTCGTTATTACCCAATTACAGTGACTCTTGGAAACCGTGGTTTCGTGGTTTGTCTGCATGCTGTGCAACCACACACCGTTGTTTTCCTTCCTGCCAAGGTCTTTGTAGTCACTGATTTTGTCAAAGTTTCTGGTGTTTTAGATACAATATTGTAGTAATTAACTATTTGTAAATGTATGTCAGTAATTTTTTTGAAAAAGAAGTAGTAATTAAAGGAAGAAGAAGGAGCAATATACAGGAATTACGATTCACAATTAACATTAATACAAAAACATTACTAAGGGTCCTTTATGGTCTGGTACAGGAGGAGGTCCATGTAGGGTGACACCAGGAGTGACTGCACTGGGTGACACCAACCCTAGTGACATCACTGTAGTTTTAGATTTTAATCCCATTTCTTTTTCTTTATTTTAAATAAATAATCATTTTTTTCTTTCTGACAAGGTGAAGCATCTCCTTGGTAAACAGTTCAGTAGACTGCACCTAGGAGT